GGCTTCTATCCATGCTTCTGTACTTCCTTTTGACCATTACTTGAGACAAGTTCACTGTGTTAATTCTTGAACTTTGATATGTTCATCTATAAAATATGAGTAATATCACTTGTCCACTCTAGTCCACTCTAGAGAATTGCTATAAAAAATTAAAAATAGAGTATACATCCGGCTTGTATAAATGAGAGCCAAAAAAAAGTTATTTCCATGTCAGTTCCAGCTCATGGTGAACCCACGCAGAGTAGAAATCCACTGAGCAGTGTTTTCCTGGCTGGGACCTTTCAGAAGCAGATTACCAGCCTCTCTTCCAAAGCACCTATCCATGTGGACTTCCCGAATGGAAAACACAAACACCAAACTGGCTAGACCTGTGGCAAGAGACAATGGGGTGTACAATGTCAGTAGGCCAAACAAGGCCAGAAGCTGACTGTGGGACCAACCATCAGTTACACATAAGCAAGTTCAGGCTGAATTTGAAGAAAATTATAACAAATCCCTAAGAGTCAAATTATAACCTTGAGTATACGCCACCAGAATTTCATTGAACATTAATGAACACATTGAACATTTAACACATTGAACATTAATGAAACATCTGATAAGATGCAGAATAATGTCAAGATCACATAGGAAGAACGTAAAAGGTCATTAAAAAGACAAGAAAGGAAGGATGGAAGGAAGGAAAGAAAGAACCAAAGTGGATGTCGGAAGGGATTTTGAAACTTACTGAGTTTGAATGTGGCTCTATTACTTACAACTTGGCCAAGTTTGTTAGCAGGAGCTAAACGAAATGGAAGAAATGATGAAGTAAAAGAACTTAACAAAAAATTTCAAAGGACAGCTCAAGAAGATAAAATATTATAATGAAATATGTAATGACCTGGGATTTAAAAAGCCAAAGAAGAATATACTCAGAATATCTCAAGAGGACAGAACTGAAGAAAAAAATTCAAGCTTCGAAGTTACTATACATAAGGATCCTATGAGCAAAATACTGAATTATGCATGAAGCATCAAAAGACAATGGAGGGAATGCAGTTCCTGTACCAAAAAGAACCAGTCAGCATATAACCATGTCAAGAGATAGCATACGATTAAGAATGGATGGTACTTTTTCGTTAGTATTGAAGGAAGGCACTGAAGGCATCCGTGAAGCACAAGGCTGCAACAATTGACAAAAAATGTTTCAATAAGCTGATAAAGTACTGGAAGCATTCACTTGTCTATGCCGAGAAATTCAGAAGACAGCGACCTGACTGACTGAAGAACTCCTAAGTGTGCCCATTCCAAAGAAGAGTAGAGCAACAGAATGCAGAAAGTATTTAACAATATCATTAATATCACATGCAAGCAAAATTTGACTGAAGAAAATTAAAAAATGGTTGCAGCAGTACATCAACAGGCAGAGTCCAGAAATTTGAGCTGATTTCAGAAGATCTATAGCACATAGAATATTTTTGCTGATGTTTGATGGATCTTGGCTGAAATCAGAGAATATCAGAATGATGTTTATTTGATATTGAGAAGAATGGGAATTCCAGAGCATTCCATCATGCACGTGAAGGATCTGTGCACCGAACAAGAGGCAGTCACTCAAACAGAACAAGGGTTTAAAATGTGGTTTAAAATCAGGAAAGGGGCATGTCAAAGTTGTATCCATTCACCATACTTATTCAGTCTGTAGACTGAACAAATAAACTAAGAAGCTAATCTATATGAGGAAAAAATTCAGCATCAGGATTGGAAGAAGGCTTATTGACAACCTTCAATATATAGATGGCACAACCTTGCTTACTGAAAACAAGAAAGATTTAAAGCACTTGCTGACAATGATCAAGGACTGCAGCCTTCAATATGAAAACGTAAATGAACTGTACAGAAATATAAAGAAAAGAAAAATCCTCACAACTGGACCAATAGATAACATGGTAAGTGGAGAATGATATTGAAGTTAAGGATTTCATCTTGTTTGGAACCACAACCAATAATCATGAATGCAGCAAACAACAAATCAAAAGATATATTACTACATTGGGCACATCTGGTGCACAAAACCTTTTTAAAGTATTGAAGAGCAAGGATGTCACTTTGAGGATGAAGGTGCTCCTGACTCAACCAAGGTACCCAAACCAAAAGGAGGTACTTGGTGAAAGTTAGAGACCGATTAAGGAAGACCAAAGGATAACTGATGCATGTGAATTCTGGTGGCTGGTGAAGAATACTGAAAAGTACCATGGCGTGCCAGAAGAAGAGACAAACCTGTCTGGGAAGAAATGAACCCAGAATATTGCTTAGAAGCAAGGACGGTGAGACTTCATCTGACATATTTTGGACATATTATCAGACCAGTCACTGGAAAAGGACCTCATGCTTGGTAAAGTAGAAAGGCAGCCAACAGAGGGAAGACCCTTAGAGGAATGAACTATCGCAGTGCCTATAACAAAGGACAAGCATAACAGCAACTGTGAGAGCGGCAGAGACCCAGGCAGCATTTCATTCTATTGTACATAAGTTCACTGTTAGTGGCACGTAGCAAGTAACTCAACAACAACAAAAGTTCGAGTTTGACTTACATTACAATATCACTTAACATTGCTTTATAAATTTGTGTGTTTGTATAGATGTTCTATGCTTTCAAGACTTTTTAAAACCTTCAGCATAAGTCACAAATTTGACATACTTGCTACTCCAATGTAGTCCATGGTTGGCATCACCTAGAATCTGGTTACAAACACAGGATCTCAGGTACATCAGACATACGGAATGAGAATCCTTCAGTAATTTGTATGCTCAATAATAAGGTGTGAGAAGCACTGCTTTAAACAGTACTACCAATTATAATAATCATTACATAAAAAAGAAATTAATTTCAGAACAGGTACTTCAAATATATGCACCTGACTCTACAATTTTTAAAAGATAAATTTCACTGAAGAATTGTTTTTGAAATAAGAAATCCTGTCTTACTCATTCTGATTTTCTGACACTCAAGACAGTGCATGATATACAGCAGATGCTCCATAGATGTAGAAAGCTCATCAATCATTAATATAGAAAGTAGGGATCAATGTACATTTACCCTCATAAAAAATATAACTACTCGGTATCAATTATTAAATATGTCTTAAGAATTTCTGACATTAACTAAAAAATGAAAAATGTTATTATTTACATTTGAACTGTATACACCCAAATTTATAAATAAAAATGGCCAGGTTATATATGTAACCCATTAAATAAATTTAAATATATGTAATTTATTAAATTTATAATAAGAATGCCCAGGTTATATATGCAATCTATTTAATATAAATAGCATGCACATAAATAGCTTGTTAAGCAACTGTACATACACCAAAGTACTAGTAATTACCAGGGGTGGGGGGAGGACGGAAAGGGGGCCCCGGTGTTTAGCAGACACCAAGCTTCTGCCAAGCATGACAGAAAAATCTGGAAATGGATAATCGTGAAGGTAGAACATGATGAACTTAATTTATTAAAATTATACATGCAAAAAATGTTGAAATACAAAAAAGTTTGTTCCATGTATTCATTGCAACAAATAGCAATGATAATAAGCAAACAATAAAAAGGTAGATGAAATATTTTGATATAAGGGTGTCTAGTGAGTTTTGGAGGCAGGTATGGATTCAAATTCTTTCTCTTTCAACTATAAGGCTTTGAACAAGCTGTTTAAGGCCTCTCTGTATCCATTTTCTCATAAAGCTGAGATAATAGTAACATTTACTCTCAATGGGATTTAAAAGAAATAAAGATAAAAGGGATGTATATATATGAAGCAACATTCCATTATAATAGACATAATTTTTAATAGATGGAATTTAATTCTAACAAAAATTCCAACAAAATTCTTTACTGAAATGTAAAGACAAGTCACCAATTTGTTAAATGGAAACTAATTTGCTGTAAACTTTCACCAAAAATACAATAATATAATTTTAAAAGGTAATGTAAACTATGTAGTATAACAGACTAATCATCATTTATCAGAAATAATAATAATGCTTTGAAAAGTTAAAAACAAACTTACCTTATCAAGTTTTAGTTCCAATTCTGCCACATCTCCTTCTACTTCTTCCAATGCTGCCCTAGAAAAATCAAACATAAATTAAGTTCTTTTATATGCTTAAATGTATACTTTATTCTTCACTTGATCTTAGCCAAAAGGCCGAGAAGCGATATATACTTTATTCTTAAAAAAATAACTCTAGCTAAAGAAATACCTGAATGCTTAAAAATTACCCTTCAGAGAAAGCAACAATTACCTCAGAATGGAGCATAAACATCACATAATGGTGCAAAACAACAGTCAACAAAATAATGCATTAGGTTGGCTTAAGCCTTCCCATTATTCAAATAATAACACTATTCAGAGCTATTTAGCATATATTTCAAAGGGAGGAGGAGCCAAAGAAGAAATTTCAAAGACAGAAATAACACTTTGATGCAACAAAATATCATGTAGCCAGACAGCCAAGCAATGTTGGTAATCAAAGAAAAGAAAGAGCCTGTACTGGAAAGACCCAGAGAGAGATTGCTGTCGTTTAGTTGGCAACTTTGTTTCCAATATCTTCATTAAAAATCAGTACCTCAAATCAATAAATTATAGTCTCACTTCCCCTAACAATGTAATTTTAACACAGAAAATTGAACAAAGCTTAGAAATTAAAGGACCCCATGTAGCACTGCGCCTAAGCGCACGGCCACCAACCCAAAGACTAGTGGTTTGCAACGACCCGGCAGTTCCCACAAAGCTAGCAGGAGCCCAGCACCCTGCAGAATGCTCTTCCCTGGACCAGGCTTTAGTGCTGGACTCTGGGCTTCTCTTCATAGTCACTTTATCAAACAGGCAACTGTGCCCCAAACAAGACACAGATTCAACACATTCCTATTCAAAGTTTCAACACCTTCTTCACAGAGCTTGAAAAAAACGAACCCTCACCTTTAGTTGCGATGACCAGCCCCCACCAAATAAAAACCAAAACCATTGCAATTACTTCATCAATTCTGAGGAAAAGCAACCCTGGAATTCATGGCAGCTACACCTTTGGGTTTCTCAGGATAAAAATCTTTACAGGAGCAGTCAGTCTCATCTCTTTACTGTGGAGCAGCTGATGGTTTTAAACTGCTGATCTTGTGGTTAGCAGCCCACCAAGTAGCCCCCCACGCCAGGGGGTGGCAGTGGGGCACTGGCTACGGATGACAAGAAGCCCTAAATACAGCGGTTCTCAACTAGCAGGTTGCAACCCCTTTGGAGGTCGAATGACCCTTTCACAGGGGTCGCCCGATTCATAACAGTAGCAAAATTACAGTAATGAAGTAGCAACGAAAATAATTTTATGGTTTGAGGTTCACCACAACATGAGGAATTGTAGGAAAGTTAAGATCCACCCTAAATAGCTAAAGCAATGCTAATTGAGATGACCAAAATAAGAGAACTCACATTTCCTGATTTTAAAATATATTATGCAACTATAATAATGAAAACCGCCTGGCAGACACACAGACCAATGGAACAGAATAAAGAGTTTAGGGATAAAGCCACACAACTATGGTAGCTGATTTTTGACAAGGGTACTAATTCCACTCAGTGGGAGAAGAAGAGTCTCTTCAATAAATGGTGGTTGGGAAATTGGACTTCCACATACAGAAAACTAAAAAGGATACATGCCTCAACATGCAAAAGCAAATTAAAAATGTATAAAATACCTAAATATGAAAACAAAAACATTAAATTCTTAGAAGAAAATTCAGGGGAAGGCTGTTGGGGCTAGCTTTTAACAATGGTCTATCTAATATAAAAGCAAAGCACAAACATCAAAATTTTAAACTTTGTTCATCAAAAGACTGTCCTAGAGTAAAGAGAAGAACCACCAACTAAGAGAGCATCTTCAGAAACTATATATCCAACAAGAATCTATTAACAAAGATAGCTATTTAAAAATTGGCAAAAAGTAAATAAAAATTGGCAACAAAAACCAAATAATCCAATTTATATATTTTTTTCTTTTAGTCATTTTATTGGAGGGGCTCTTACAAATCTTATGACAATCCATCATTCAATTGTAATAAGCACACTTGTACATATGTTGCCATCAACAGTTCCAAAACATTTTCTTTCTACTTGAGCTCTTGGTATCAGCTCCTCGTTTTCCTCTCCCTCCCCCACCCTCCCACCCTCGTGAATCCTTGATCGATTATATACTATTGTTGTTGTTTCATGTGAATAACCCATTTTTTTAAGTGGGCAAAGGACTTGAATAAACATTTTACCAAAGAGGACATTCAAATTGCCAACAAACACATAAAAAATGTTCAGTATTATTAGCCATGATAGAGATGCAAATCAAACCCCTAATCAGAAACCTTTTCACTCCCATTTTTCTTAGCCATCAGAATGGCTAAGATTAAAAAAAAAAAAGTTGGCAAGGGTGTGGAAAAATGGGAGTCGTACCTATTGCTGGTGGGAATGCAAAATGACAGTGCAGTTATGGAAAATTGTGGTAGTTCCTAAAAAAAACTAAACATAAATCTATCATATCATAATCTGTGAGAGCATATCTTTAGCAAATACCAAAAAGACTTGAAAGCAGAGACTCAAATAGGTACTTGTATACAAATGTTCATTGCCACACTACTGACAACAGCCAAAAGGTGAAATGATATTAATATCAAGCAATGAATGAATGGATAAACAAATTTGGCACATACATGCAATGGAATGCAACTCAGTCAGTAAGAGAAAGGATGTCTTGATATGTGCTATAATATGGAGTTGGAAGACATCATGCTAAGTGAAAAAAGTCAATCACAAATGGACATTGCTTGATCTTATTTACATTAAAAGACCATTAGACAAAAACTAGGCTCCAGGAATTGATGGAGTACCCATTGAAATGTTTCAGCAAGCTCAAGAAGCACTGGAGGCATTAACTTGGCTATGCCAGGAAATTTGGAAGACAGCTATTTGGACAACCGACTAGAAGAGATCCATATTTGTGCCCATTCCAAAGAAAGGTAACCTAATAGAATGCTCAAACTATATAACAGTATCATTGATATTGAAACCAAGTATAATTTTGCTTAACAGCTTCCAATAATGGTTGGAGTACATTGACCAGACTCACATTGCAGCAGTACATTGACAGGGAACTTCCTGAGGTTCAGGCTGGAACCAGAAGAGGACGTGGAACAAGGGTTATCATTGCTGATGGTAGATGGATCTTGGCTCAAAGCACAGAATACCAGAAGACGTTTACTTGTGTTTCACGGACAGTGCAAACACATCCAACTGTGTGGCCCCTAATAAACTGTAGATAGCCTTGAGAAGAAGGGGAATTCCACAATACTTCATTGTGCTCTGCGGAATGTACACTTGGATCAACAGGCAGTTGTGTGAATAGAACAAGAGCATAATGCATGGATTAAAAACAGGAAAAGTGTGTGTCATACTTGTTCAATCTGTATGCTGGGCAAATCATAAGAGAAACTGAATTATATGAAGAAGAGTATGGCATCAGGATTGGAGGAAGGCTTATTAACAAACTGTAATATGCAGATGACACAACCGTGTTTGCTGAAAGTGAGGAGAAATTGAAACACTTGCTTATGAAGATCAAGAATTATAGCCTTCAAAAAAAATTATAGCGTTCAGTATGGATTACAACTCAATTTTACGGGAAGACCAAAATCCTCACAACTTGGACCAATCGGTAACATCATGATAAATGGAAAGAAAAAAAGGTTGAAGTTGTCGAGGATTTTGTTTTACTTGGATCTGTAATCAATGCTCATGGAAGCAGCAGTTAAGAGCTCAAAAGACTGGTGCACACGACCTCTTTAGAACAGTGAAGAGCAAGGATGTTACTTTGAGAACTAAGGTGCACCTGACTCAGGTCATGGTATTCTCTATTGCCTCATATGCTTGTGAAAATTGGAAAATAAATACAGAAGACTGAAGAAGAATCAATATATTTGAATTGTGGTGCTGGAGAAGAATATTAGTACCATGTAGTGGAAAAAGTACAGCCAGTGCTCCTTAGAGGCTAGGATGGCAAGACTTCATCTTACATACTTTGGACATATCAGGAGGGGCCAGTCCCTGGGAAGGACACCATACTTGGTAAAGGGGAAGGGCAGGAAAAAGAGGAAGGCCCTCAATGAGACAGACTGACGCAGGGTCAGGCAATTTAACAATTCTGATGATGAGGATTGTGTTGGGTGCCAACTTCACAGCACCTAACAATAACAACAACATAAAAAGGCAAGAGCAGGCCAATGTACAGAGACCAAGTGTTCTTTCTATAACTATCAAATTGTTTATACAGTCTCACTGGTTTATGCGGAGTAGGAGTTATTAAACTACTGGTCATCCATCAGCCAAAGACCAGCATACCACTGTTTGTGCAAAGTCTAGGACCTAAAAATGACTTTACAGTTTAAGCAGTTGGGGAAATAAATAATATTAATGTTTTATTAAACATGAAAATTCTATTAAATTCTAATTTCATTGACTAAAAATAGTATTTTGGTTTTTTTCAAAAATACTTTTACTGAAACTGCCTAACTCGTTTATTTATATATTGTCTATTACACATTTCACACAACAGCAGCAGAGTATACTTGCAACAGAGGTAGTATGCATCCACAAAGTCTAAAATATTTACTACTTGGCCTTTTACAGAAAAAAAGTATGACCCCTTATTATGAGTATTAGATAAAAGAATATGTATGCGCTTCATAAATGAGGATTTTCATTCATGTAAATAATTGTTGGAGTTTGGCTCAGGCTAGCTATACTCTGAGCAGCTGAAAAATCTGAAAACTGAAAAAAATAGAACTCTCTCACATAGAATAGTTAACTCAAAACAATAAACTAGAATAGAAAAAAACGACAAAAATAGTTAACAGACATTTCTAATCACATAGTGATCACTTTGGGCTGTGAATTAAATGAAGCTCTATGAGCAACACAAAAATAGAAATCTCCACACCCAAATAATTACATATTCCTAGCAGAGCAATAAGCTTTAGGAACTACTGTTTTTTGTTAAGGCTCACCCATAAAAATAACTAAATAGCATGAGCA